CCCTCCCCCCCCCAATGTCCTCAGTCAGCTACCTCCTTGCCCGTCCCCCAACCACCACCACACACTCCCTTCCCAACAAGCAATTCATCTACAGAGAAACGCTTGTCCGGATCCCCAATCCCAAATGAACAGCGCACTCGACACGCACGATTCGTAACCCACAGCATCCTTCTTGTAGTCACCACGAATGTTTTCTTTCTTCTCCAGCTTTCAATTCAGCATTTTCATATTTGGGGATCAAACGTCGACTCTTATATCCGCTCATCTCTTTTCCCAGGGAGACTGGGCTGTGCTTATCTGCCCTTTGACAGAGTGGACGTCAACTGGCGAGCAATCCAAGGGAAACAAGAAACCATCTCCTCACGTGTACTGATCATCCGGACACTCACACAGCACGGCTTATCTAGAGATTCTGAAGCTGAAGGAAAGCAAAAAGGAGTGGAAGGAATTTCCCCCCAAACAGATTTCCCGGTGATACGCTCTAAATGAAATTATACCAGGGTGTAAAATAGTAAGTAAAATATAAAGGCAGCTTGGAGCAAGGGAAAGAGAACCAAGCTGGATCTCCAATTTAGATGTGGTGCTATGCAATTATTTTTACGACCTACTTTCATACATTTTTAATCGTGACAGGAAAGAAAGTGCTGTCATAACTTCCCATTCTTCCTCCTATCTTGAAGCAGAGCTGGTGGACTTCCAGAAAAAGAGCTCAGCGCTAATCAACCAGCTCAGCGACTCATTTTCCACTTCACAGCCTCCACGCTGAAACCCCACACAGCCAGCCACCCTCGCCAGTCACTTCCCCAAGCAGCCATTGATGTAGCAAATACGAGGGCTGTGAGGAAATGCCAGTCTCTTTCAGATCCATTTTTCCATAAACTTTTTGAAGACTCCTTGTATGTATTGAGGGCCTACTTCATGCCACGCCAGACAGACAAACATCATTGCTCTTCATTTAGCCCAATAAGAATGATTCCATTTTCCTTAAACTCTTATTGGAACCTTTCATACTGTTAATTTCACGATCGCTAATTATTCACGTTTACTATCGTGTGTGTGTGGGGTGATCCTCTGCTCATTGATACCTTTGGGTAGACCAAGTGTCTGCGCTGAGACCTACTACCCTGTTTCCCCCAAAAGTAAGACATGCCCCGAAAATAAGACCTCCTTACAGTTTTGCCTCTTGCTGAAATATAAGGCATCCCCCCAAAATAAGACCTCCCCAAAAATAAGGCCCCCCGAAGCTACTGTAACTCTGGACTCTGGACTGTAGCGGTGGGCGCCGCCGGGCAGCTCACTGTTGGCCGCAGCACAGGCAGAGCAGACAGAAAGTGAGAGGTTTCTTTTAATAAGACAATAAATGCGTACCATATTCTTCTTCATGGAAAAATAAGA